GATAGAAAGTTAATTATGAGGAGGAAAATAAGTCAAAAAAAATTCATTTAGAGGGGCATTCTGAGAAGATGATAGAATAGGTCAGAAAATTCCAGGCTCTACAAATTTCCTCTATAAACAGACAGAATATCACCACAAAATGAACATAGAGCAGCAAAAATAAGCAGTTGTCCTCCTAAGACAACTTGAGAGGATCTCAGAAAAGAGTCAGAACCTCCAAGGGGTGAGGTTTGGCCTGAGTAAAGTACAAACACCTTCAAGCCAACTCCCCTGAATCAACAAGCAGCAGGCCCCGGGGCAGCTACATCTGAAAATAGACTAGCCCTTGGGAAATCGCAGCCTCGGGAACTTTGACCTGATGAACTTTCACTTCACACATTTTTATCTAACAGCAGATGGCTGAATGGGGAAGTCTGGGGGACTCTAGTGTTCCTGGACACCAGGCCTAAGGGTGCTGACCAGACGTGGTCCTTGGCTGTGGCCGTGGGCTAGGAGCAGGCACCATACCTCAGTAAACTCAGTACCAGTACCGCAGGGAGCAAGAATGTTTTCAGGACAGCATGGCTGGGGTAACCATGTACTTGACAAGTATAGAGACTTAAGATTTTGGGATAAGAATTCATTATTTAGGTAAAAAAAAATTATTGGGAAAACTGGAAATCAGTTTTGCAGAAATTGGGCTTAGACTAGTATCTTAAACTATTTACCAAGATAAGGTCAAAATAGATACATGATCTAGATATAAAGAGAGATATTACATGAAAATTTGAAGAACATACTTATTACTTATCAGATTTATGAATAGGTGAACAATTTATAAACAAGAGATGGAGAGCAGAGTGAGGTGTAAATTGATAATTTCAATTACATTAAATTGAAAAAGTTTTATACAAGTAAAACAAATGTAGCCAAGATTGAAAGGAAAGTAGAAAATTGAGGGAGGGGGGATTTATAAAGTTTCTCAGATAAAGGTCCAATATCTCAAATATATAAAAATTTTGTCAAATTTATAAGAGTATGAGTTGTTCTCTAATTGATAAATGGCCAAAGGATATGAACAGGCAGTTTTCTGATGAAGAAATCAAAACCATTTACAATCATATGAAAAAATGTTCTAATCCATTATTGATTAGAGAAATGCAAATTAAAGCAGCCTTTAAATATCATCTTACACCTGTCACAGATTGGCTAAAATTAGGAAAGTGACATGTTGGGAGAGATGTGGAAAAATTGGGACACTAATTCATTGTTGGTGGAATTGTGAACTGATCCAAACTTTTTGGAGAATAGTTAAAAAGCTGCTTATACCCTCTGACCTGGCAATAGCACTAATAGGTTTATTTCCAAAGGTGATTAGGGAAAAATGAAAAGAACTTTAGGTTCTAAAATAATTGTAGCAGCTCTTTTTGTAGTGGCAGAAACTGGAAATTGTGGGGATGCCCATCCATTGGAGAATGGCTGAACAAGTTTGGTATATAATTGTGATGGAATATTACTGTGCTATGAGAAATGATGAACTCAGTGATCTTAGAAAAACATGGATAGAGTTGCGCAAAATAATGAAGAGCAAAATGAGCAGGATCAAGAGAATGTTTTATACAGTAACAGCAATATTGTTTTAAGTGAAGAAGTCATTTTGACTGTTATAAATACCCAAATTAATTACAAAGGACATATGAAGGAAGATGCTATCAGCATTCAGAGATAGAACTAATAAATAGAAGTATGTATAGAATGATTTTACATATATATAGATATTTGTATCTCTATGATGGTGGGGGGGTGGAGAAAAAAAGAAAATAAATTTACAAGAGAGCTTTATTATATATTTAAAAGGAATAGAAAGTTTTACATAATAGATTCACACTTTCATATGCAATCATATTTTTATTGTACAGTGTTACGGAAATGTTTGCTTTATTCCATAAATTTATAATAAAACAGATCAAAATTAAAAAATAAATTAGATTTAAACTCAGATATAGCTAAATAACATTTGACTTAACTAGGGTTGAATGCTTTGTTCAGAGGCATTCCAAATGGACAAAGCCTGAGGGCAGGCTTTCTTATGGAAGGACTTGAAGGGATTTGTGATGTCAGTGAGGAGTGTAATGAGAGAGAGAGGTAAAGAAAGAGAGCCCAGTAAGGAATGAAGATATCAGAAAGGCCCCTCCATCTTTTCTTCTTCTGTCTATTTCTTCTTATCCTTTTTTTTTTTTAAGGCAATTGGGGTTAAGTGACTTATCCAGGGTCGCACAGCTAGTAAGTGTCTTGAGTCCATATTTGAACTCAGGTCCTCCTGACTTCAGGGCTGGTGCTCTATCCACTGTGCCACCTAGGTACCCCATTTCTTATCCTTCTTGTCATTATCTATTTCTTCTTCTCCTCCTCCTCATTCTTCTTGTCCCTGCCCTTCTTATCATTGTCCTTGTTCTATTTCTTCTTCTTCTTCTTCTTCTTCTTCTTCTTCTTCATTGGGCTTTTCTTATGAGAGGTAAGGGAGAAGGAAAAGAAATAGCTCCTATTACATGTCAGGCACTATGCTAAGTGATTTACAAATATTATTTCATCTGATCCTCACAACAACTCTGTGAGGAAGATGATGTTAACCCCATTTTACAGTTTAAACCGAGGCAAACAGAAGTTGTGATTTGCCTAAGGTCACATAGCTAGTGAGTGTCTGTAGCTGGATTCTAACTCAGGTCTTCCTGACTCTAGACCCAGTACTCCATCTGTTTCATCATCTAATTACCTCTAGGTAGCCATGAGAAGGATTCTGCTGACTAAATTCATTTGCCACTTTCCACTTGTGAATTTTCTTTTGTCAAAAGATTTTTGATTTTTTTCTTCCTTTATTAGAAGGAAGAAACCGATATTTTGTAATGTCTTTGCCATTTAAAGCAGAGTAACTAATTATCTTGAAAGGCAGTGTGATGTAGTGGGTTAGAGAACTGGCTTTTAAGCCAGAAAGACTTAGGTTCAAGTTCTGCCCCATGATTTATAGCTGGCTGTGTGATCCTGAGCAAGTCCTAAGCCTCTAAATGCTCTTGGTCAGTGGTGTCAAACTCAAATAGAAACAGATCTCTGCAGGCCATATTGACTTGAAAAATTACAGATTAGCATTATCTATGTTGTATTATTGTGTATTTTGTTAAAAATTTCCTAATTACATTTTTTTTTTGCTTTTTGATGAGGCAATTGGGGTTAAGTGACTTGCCCAGAGTCACACAGCTAGTGAGTGTTATGTGCCTGAGGCCAGATTTGAACTCGGGTTGTCCTGACTCCAGGGCCAGTGCACTATCCACTGCACCACCCAGCTGCCCCTCAGAATTACATTTTAATCTGGTTCTGGCAGCTGAGGACTGTTGTGGGCACCATGGAGCCTGCATGTTTGACTACTCTGACCTAGGTAGCTCTCTAAGTCTGTAAGTTTCAGAAAAGGTGCCAATTTATTGTATTGATAGGAGTTTCTTATACCAATGAAATCACAGATGCCCAGTCTCTATCTGAACAAATTGATATTTACTAAAATGGTTGGGACTCTACAGTAAAAAAAAAAAAAGCCAAAATGTAAGGTTGAGCATTTAGATCTATCTTAATTAAATATTAACACTGTCCTTATGTTGCTGTGTCAGACTGAAGTACAACATCAAGGAAATGAGAACATTCTTGGAACAGTAAACAGGCCAATTTGGTAGGAATATCAAGTCAGTAAGGGATAATAATAGGAAGTGAGTCTGTAAATATAAGTTGGAGCCAAGTTGTGTGAAGGGCTTTAAAACCAAACAAAGGAGGTTGTATTTTATCCCAGAGGTAATAGGGAATTACTGATGTTTCTTGATCTGTGGAGTGCCTTGGTCAGATTTGTGTTATAGGAATATCACTTTGGCATCTGTGTGGACAATGGTTTGTAGAGGATAGGGACTTGAGATAGGAACGCCAGTTAAGAGGCTACTGCAGAGGATCCATTAGAAAGTGTGAAGGCCGTGGGAACACAGAGGAGGGGATAGATATTGTGGGAGTAAAATCAATAAGAATTGGTAACTGATTGGATATGAAGGGTGAAGAAGAATGACATGTTAAGGATGACCCTGAGGTTGTCAACCAGGTTGACTACAAAGATGGTGATGTTTCAACAGAAATAGCAAAGTTAGGAAAAGGGATGGGGTTTGTGGGAAATATAATCAGTTCTCTTTTGGATGTATTGAGTTTGAGATGCCTATAGGATATCCTGGGGCTGTTGTCCAGCAGGTGCAGTGGGGAGAGAGATTAAGGCTAGAGAATCAACATACATTGATAAGATAGCTGATACTGTTGCTATGTTGATGCCAATAGAGTGATATAGGTACCAAGACAGTCATAGATAATGCCTTGCTACAAACCGGACACCATCAACATCTGTGGAATCAAAGCTAAGCCAGTAGCCTTGTTAGGCCAGCTGTACATAGACAGCCATGTGTTATGGGCCAGGATACCCTTGGAACTGGGAAGATTTGAGTTAACCTCATACTCCCGTAAAACCAGATGAGACTGTTTTAAATGAAGAAGTCACGTGGTGGATCTGAGGCAGTTTGAGTTAACTTTGTACCCAGGTGGGTTGATTTGGGATCCAGCTGTGGAGCCTTTGGGAAAGAAAACTATAAAAGGTGTTCAGACTTAGGCAGGGAGCTTCTGAGACTCCAGGGAGGCTTTCCTTTTTGACTGCTTTTAATTCTCTTGCTGGTATATTTTACTTGCGTTTATTTTTACTTTTTAATTACCTTGGGAACTGCTTTTACTTTAGGTGGGTCAGTGGGATTGTATATGTTTTTATTAAAGGAAATGATTGTTTCAACTCTTGAACATGACTGAGACACCTTGGATTATTAACTGGATAGTAGTCCACTTTCCTACTTTGCTTTGATTTTGTAGACTAATTTTCTTTTCTTAACTCTGTTTTTAACTCTTTCATTAATTCTGTTAATATCTTAATTGATCCTCTTTTATCTTCATCCTTCAAGGTTTATTGGAGACTGATCCACTGCATGAACCTGATGAAGAAACCATCTCTCATATTGACCTCAGTAGTATGATATCCGAAGAAGAAAGAGAAGAGTTGAAAACTGAACTAGTTAAGGTAAGCTCAGTTAAACCCCTCAGTGTTCATATTTCTACCTTTAGAACTTGCAAGTTATTATTAGTACAATGAAGTTCACACGCTGTAATTATTTTGTCCTTCACTTAATACAATTTTACAGACTAGCGTACTGTAAAATGAGTCATTTTGCCAGATTAATTCTCAACCCTGATTGTCCATTGTCAGGTTGACTATAGAGGTAAAATGAATGGTTGAGCTGTTTTAGCAAACAGTAGTAATTAGTTGTAAATTTGAACCATTTATTATACTATGGAATAATGAATCACTAAAATGACTATGGAATTCATTCAGTATTATGACTTTCAGCATTGGTGCTCACTATCCTTTTAAAAAAAAAAGTAGTCCTTGTTTTAGGTCAGCTATTGCTTAGAGTATTTGGAGAGGATTTTTTTTTTCTTAAAACAACAGAATAACAAGTTGTGCCCTATTCAGCAAGACAACAAAAACTCAGGCGATGCAGTTCACAAGGAAGAGCTAAACCTTATGGTTAATTAAAAGGCCCTAGTAAATAACAAAGTCAATGAATAAACTTAAAGTTCATGGACATATTTAAAATACTAAGTCTTCAACATCTACCCACCCAGTATCCATTCAAAATAGGCATGGCACAAAAGAGAGTGAGTTTTTGTATCTGTGGCTTTAAAAGTTTGAGACCTACAAAAATATTTATAACAGCCCTTGTGGTGGCAAAGAATTGGAAATTGAGGGGAAACCCATCAATTGGGGAATAACTAAACAAGTTGTCACATATGATTGTGATGGAATACCATTGTGCTAAAAGAAGTGATGAGCGGGATGTTTTCAGAAAAACCTGGAAAGACTTATAGGAACTGATGCAAAGTGAAGTGAGCAGAACCAGGAAAACATTGTACCCAATAATAGCAATTGTATTTATTGTAATGTATTGTAGCGATGATCAAATGTGAAAGATTTAGCTACTCTGATCAAAGCAGTGATCTAAGATAATTCCAAAGGACTTAAGATTAAAAAATTCTGTCCACCTCCAGAGAGATTAATGGATGAAGTCTGAGTGTAGATTGAAGCATAATTTTTATCACTTTCCTTATGTTTCTTTTTTTTGTTTGTTTGTTTGGTTTTTTTTGTTGTTTTTTTTTTTTGGCAACATAGCTAATATGGTAATATGTTTTGCCTAACTTCACCTGTATAGTTGACCTCAAGTTCCTGGGGCACAGAGGAAGAGAATTTGGAACTCTGAATTTAAAAAGAATGAATATAAAAAATAAATAATGTAAAAGGAAAATAAAGAATGAAAGTATGAGACCCATGCTATAGTTTTACCCACTTATATCTTCCATGTTACCACCCATCATAATTTTTCCCCCGAAGAGCCCTTGTTTGTCTCCTGGGTAGAACTGCAAAGTAGGTGAAGTTTGTCTTTCATGCCTTCTCTCTTTAATATCTATAACCCCTTCCTACCTTCTAGTATATATATATTCTATCCTTCAAGCACCCGGAACCTTATAAATGTCTTCTGGCTATGCAAAGCACCCTACTACTTCTGGAATCCAAGCTCCTAGGCTGGTAGATCTCACGTCTAAGGAAACCAGGTCATAAAATAATGTTTAGTAAATTGTGACTGTTAAACAGGCTTAATCCTTTCAGGGATTGTTTGCTTTCTTAAAGGGGGAACTTGCTAACCCAAATGTGTCTAATTAGTTGAAAGTATTGTGGGGAGTATTGTGGGGAGTATTTTTAAGCAGGGATTGAAGAATGAATCAGTCTTTATATCAGCCTTCTATATTGAACCTGCCACAGACCATACTTCATCCCATACAACTATCCACCGGGGTCAAGCAGTCAGGAGTATGGTAGGTAGTTTGTCAGGATTCTTGTTTAGGGAACAATGATCAAATCAGTTATTGCTATCGATACTTGAAGGGTAATCTACTTTCCCTGTGGCTCCATAATTGCCCTGGCCAAAGCTCTATTCCCTGGCTTCTACTACTCTATGTAAAGTGTTTTCTCTCTAGTGCAGAACTTGTTAACTTGGGGCCTGTTGACTTCTGGGGATAGATTTTAGGGAGTCTTGAATTTAGATAAAGGGAAAAAAAACCTACTTATTTATTTACAATAATCCATGAACCCTTTTCAACAAAAACAACAAGAAAAAATGGGTTGTAAACACCAGAAATTTAGCATTTGTCTGTTATTTAAAAACATTTTTCTGGAAAGGGCGCCAGATTGCTGAAGGGGGTCCAAGACATGAAAAAGTTAACATCCGCTACTCTAGTAGAGTATAAGATTTTTGAGAATAGGGGCTAGCTTGCTTATTTGTATTTCTAGTGCTCAGTACAATGTCTGGCTCATAGTAGGCACTTAATAAATGCTTTCTTATATATGAAGTAAACCTTCCAAGTGCCCATTGCTCACTCTGAGCCTCTGCCTCTCAAGTCATTGTAGGTAAATTAGCTTATCTGGTTACCTAGGAATGTAACCTTGTCTTCTCACACTGAGAACTGAGTAAGCACTTAATAAATAAATGTTTGTTGAATTAAAGTGAATGAAACATAACAATTATAAAGGCCATGGGAACTTTTCTTGTATCTTCTCAAAAACTGACTTTTGTGTTTATCCTTTTAAAAACTTTTTTTAAAGGAGTGTTATTTTGTTATTCAGCAAAATCGATGATAATTGTGATTTTACACATAGTGAATCCTTATATTACCTCTTTATCTGTAAGCAGATTCTAACATGGCTATACAAAATGCTTTAATTGCTCTTAACAGAGTAGATCTTTTCATACTATGCCATCATGACTTCATGAAAGGGATAAATACATTGCCTTTTGAGATTAGTTCCTTTTTAGCCTATTTAAAGCTGCTGAGAACATAGGTTTACAAAGAGGGGAAGAAGACTGTTTCATAGCCATAGACTTCACTGTGTTCTAGTCATTCATCTTCTCCTTACGTGCTACTGTGTGCATTTCTTTGAGCGGTTTCGCTTTGTCAGGTACTAATCGGCAGAAACAGTATTAGAACCAAAGTCCTCTGACTGAAGAATGCTTAGCTTTTTCCAATGGTACTCGCTGCCTCTTGAACTAGTACCTCTGGTGTGAGGGTTTTCCAGTCCCTTTTCAGGGATGCTCGTCCACCTTTGGTGTCCACCTGACTCTGACCTGTGGCTCCAAGAATCTGTATCGCATGCATCGGCCACACCCCATCTCTACAGATGGGCTGAACCGAGTTAAGGGTAACTGACAGTCCTCATACCTGTCAGTGAGGTAGGAAGATGTTTACCCCAAGCATGCCCCAGTAGAATGGGGGGATGAAAACAGTTTATTCGAATGGCCAAGAAGATGGCTTAAGCAAGCACTGTGGAATGCTTAGAGCTTGCTTAGACATCAAAGATGCCAAGGTCATCCATTGCATCCTGGGCCATTGCCAGTCATCCTGACTTTTGTCTTGCCTACTGGACTTTGACTCTGGAAGAGAGAATGAGGCTGATGGCTTTGTGTAACTCTGCCACACTTAAATCTAGCTCACACGAGTCAAGACATCACCCCATGATGTTATTGGTCCTCTTTGAAAACGAGGGACAAACAACAACTCTGTGCAAATGGGGCCTAGAGAAGGAGTATGCATAGTTTAGTACAAATTTACTTTGGGGAAAAAATAACTGACAGTGGGCATATCTGACTGTGAATCAATGGGATCACCCTTATACTCAAAATATAACCTGGACCTAAGAATTTTCATTAAGAATAAAAAAAAAAAAAACGCATGTTCAGACAAACTGACAAAACCACTTGCTCTTTTCTTGTTACTACTTAGATCACACTTCATATAGGATCTAAACATCATTCATTCCTTCACTACATATGTTTCATTGCCTATTGTATGCCACGCTAGTCTTTGGGGATGCAGAGAAAAAAGTGAACTAGTACTTGCTCTCAGGGAACTTGCCTTATATTGTGGGAGATAGGAAAAAAGATGTATACTAACATTTAAATGTAAAATAGAGAAAGTAATTTTGGGGTGGGAAGTGGAATTTTTTTGTCTAAGTCATAGCAAATACGTGCTATGTACATAGTACAGTTATTAGGCAGTAGTCCTTTCAACTCATGTGAGTTTCTTAACTTTTGACAGAAAATTTTCGATTTCTAGCCAGTTAATAAATATTTATTAAGCCCCTACAATGTACCAGATGTTATGCTAAGGCCTGGGCATACAAATATGAAAAAGATAGTCCCTTCAGTCAAGGAGCTTACCATCTAATGGGGGAAGCTGAAAAGGTCAGGAGAAAGGAAGGTAGCCAGCAAGGGGACATGATGGAGAGGTCTAAAGGCGTGCAAGTGGGAAATGTGGAAATGGCAGGCCTGGGCACTTTTCCTAAGCGGAGGTTCTAGGAAGAGCTCTTTACTTTTACCTTCCAATCTGAGGGGTCCCAGGGCCAGAGAGGATGTATGAGGTGTGAGCATGTGATCTTCCAGGATGATGAGGTTCCTGGGGGCATGATGGAGAAATCCAAAGGAGTATAGTTGGGAGGGAATTAATAAATGAATACAGATTTTCTAGTCATTACTAAAGTATCTGAACAGGTTTTGGTAATATATTACCAAGTGCTTAGAATTTCACAGTGGAAGCAAAGCAATAGAAGAGTCTCTGGAAAACAATCCAGTTTAGATAATCAATATTGGGATCCTAAACTTAGATCTAGAAGAGATCTAGGAGGTCATCTGGCATAATCTCCTCATTTTATAGATGAGGAAATTGTCTCATAGTGGTTAAATGAGTTGCCCAAGGTCACAGACAAACAGTAGTACATGCAGAGTCAGGAACCCAGATTCTCTGATGCCAACTAAACTAGTCAATTAAGGAAATACCGTGAGTATGATTTCCTTGGATTTTAGCAAAGCTTTTGAAAAATTACTTCATGCTATTAAATATATTCAAATAGATTCAGAACTATTGGCATGGCCAGACTGAAAGAGTAAGTTGTGAATAGTTCAGTGGCAGCAT